GCAGAGAATTTCTCAGGGGCCCAACGGCAGCATCTGTCTGCTGGCCCTGGGATTTGAAACACTGTTTTCCAAACATGGGCACAATTCCTAACCCGCTGATTCACACATTGCACCCCAGGACAGAAAATTCTCATTACATTTCATAGATTATTAACAAAGTCCAGGTAATAAACTTCCTTGCTCATTTTGTGTATTTTGGGTTTGTTATTATTATTCTAGAGAATTCCATGAGCAAAAAAACAACGCAGCACTTCTTCAAAAATGGCCAGTATAAATGTAGCTTCCTAGCTGCACTGCAGAAGTATACAATCTTAAGCCACAGCATTGATTCAAGCACAAATTTGGAACAGAATTTAAAAATAATATTAATTTATTTTCAAATATGGATTAACCATTGCGAAAAACACCGCACCCGGACACATGCACATGCTCTGAAATAACAAATGACTTCCTTGTAGATGAGGGAGAGCTAAAGAAAAGGCTCCGCCAGTCACTGCAGACCATGTTCCCCGTGTGTGGTGACCTCCTGTTGGGAGAGACACAGATACGGCGACAGCTCCTGTCAGAGGTCAATGTGCCCACTGGTGCACAGGTCATGATCAGCAACAACCGACATGCACGAACCTCGTCCCTAATAGCAGAAATGCGACAGAGGCGAGATGCCTTGCTGCACAAAGAGCTCAACTACAATTTGTTCGCACTGAACTGCGAGCATTTTGCTACCTTCATTCGATATGGACAGGCTGTGTGCAACCAGGTGAGAGAAAGAGCTCAAATCTATAGCATTTGTGAATATTATGAGCAGTCTAAACCATGTTGATATGATCAATACAAAATAAAACTGAGACAGTTAAGCCAATTATAGCTTAGGTTCCTAATTACATATGTGATTGGTCATATGTAGGCAATATGTTCATCTTATGAGATTGGATTTTAGTGCAGTTTGATATGTCAACATGATACAACACATCATTGTAGTTAAACACTTCATCATTAGCAAACAGTTTAAGGCAATTTACTAATTGTGCCATTTAATTCTTAATTTTCCTTAATACCATGAAATAAATACACTCCTACTGCTTCTGCGACTGGAAGACTGACAATGTTTCACTTTCTTATTTTTTGTTATAATCTTCTATTATACAGATACCAGGAAGATCAAAGAACACAGAATGTGAAAGTGCAACTAAGGTTTTCCAAGACATTGTTCATGAAGTTTGGCCCTAACAGGAAATTTTGATTCCTGGTAATTCAAACTTTATTTTGAGTTTTTTTGTAGAATCTGGTAGGGGGTAATATGTTTTCAAAATTCAAATCTACCATAGCTATAACATAGTAGAGGGTAAATTATAATGCATATTTATATGAATATACACTGGACAATTCCTGGCTTTCAGAAGCTTATACAGTGTCAGTTCAGATTTTTGATACTATGCTGTTTACGTAGGTAACATTTCTCAGGGACCCTTAGTGAATAACTAATACAGATCTCTTATTTAAAATACTGACACAGAATTACTTTAAGATAAAACTCTTAGCAATTTACTATTACATGTAACACCTTCCATCTAGGTGGCTGAAACCCTCAAAAGTGGAAAAAGTCATCTAATCATATCAGTTCAATCAATTCATATTGCTGCTATGATTACAATTTAAGAAAAAAACAGCTGTTATTTTGTTATTGGCTATCTGCGAGTACTTTATTATACATGTCATGCCAAAATAATAAGATTTATACTTGCCAGGTTCTCATATGCTATGCTGTGTAATGCAGTTGATGTCATTCACTTATCAGTTTTATTCCTCCTATAATTAAAAAAATGGCAGTGACACTCTTGATTTTTGAGCCTACTGTATCAAACATGAGTGGCTATAGACCATAGCTGTTTCACTAGATTTGTTTGTTTTTGAGAAAATATTCTACACATTGCACTTAAATTTCATGGCGGCCAATAATAGTGGACCAGGACCGTATACATCTTCCAACCATTTACCCTGGTCAGGGTCATGGTGGGGGGGTGGAATGGGGTAAAGAGCATATGCTATGCACCCTGGATGGTTTGCCGGCTCAAAACAGGGCACACACATTCAATAACTATAGGCAGTACAGAGATGATAATTAGCCCGAATGTCCATATATATCTATTAGTTTGAGGGCCATTTTACCAGAAATGTACATTAGACAGGTCTACAAAATTTTTTTTTTTCAGTTGCCAAGGTTTTTTGAATGGATTTAGGGTATTTTGAGGGTGCTGAATTCAAAAATCACATTACTTTTGCTGAATTGGTTCTAGTTCTTGAGATAATGGACATCCATGAAAATAATGCATTCCCCCAATGTGACTTGTGTGTGATAACAAATGCAATAACTTTTGGTCTGTCTTTTGACTCTTTAACAGCGTCTTAGGTAGTGAAATGAATGATGAAGCGTTGAAGGAGTCTGAAAATAAAATTAAAGTTCACATGTGCATGTTTGCATGTTCATTTATTACTGTTGTTACTGTGGTGGTGAATATTTACCCAGATAAAATCTGCCAAGTCCTTCCAAGGGAAGGGCATCATGGGAACACCTGTCTGGTATTTAGCCAGAAATGGTTGAAATGCTCGTGGTAGTTCTATGAAAAAATGTAGTTTGGCCAGAAGAAGGGGATCCATTCGGGCTTCACAGATGCAGTCAAATTGTTCACAATAAAGGCCCTTTATTTTTACAATAAAGGCACTTCCAATGCTCGTTCCACAGCTGGCAAATTTTCGAGCCATCGATGGCCACAGAAAGGTAGAGGGAATCTTGGATGATGTTGCAGCTGTGAAGTCCTCTCTTCTGGCTGGTGCAGAGTGGAAAAGAAAATGTAGTGCTTTGAGCACTTTCTCCACCATCCACACTTCAAAACTAGTCTTGAATGACTTGTGAAGTGAACTAACTGTGTCCCAGAAAATTTCTCACCACAGTGTGAATGTCATCATTGGACGTATAGGAGTGATGTTGGCTAACCGTTTGCAAAGCCCATAGCACTTCTGCTTTTAGTGTGTCGGTTGAGGAGAATGTACTGAAGGCATTGCTTATCGTGGGATCCGGAGACACTGCCAAAGCGGGTGTAGGCCTATCTGTAGAGGTTGTACTTACAGGACTGGCAAACAACTGGGGCCCAATTATTTACAACTGGGGACGAATGGGGACAGTTGTTGTCCAACTTTTGACAAAATGCTTGTGCTTCTCTCCCCTGATATGTGAGTCGATGGCTCTAGAGCCCATTGTTGCCAGTTTTATGACTTTTTTTTTTTTACAAAGGTCGCATCGCACTTCGTAGACATTAGTCGTCTTTTACAATCAGCCACAGTACTTTTTTTTGAAGCATTGACATTAATAACAATAACTAATTAATACTGTATTATTTAATCAAATCCTACATAACTTTTTCCTGTGACTGTTAGATATTTTTAATTTCTTTTATGTTAGACTGTTTCCTTACTAGTTGTAACTAAAATAAAAATATTCTTGCAACGCAGAAACTAGAGTCAATCTGGCAAAACCGAAGTCATATTCTTAATTAGCACCATAAACTTAATATAAAACCATTCAGACATCGTTGGCACCAAAATCATTGTATACCAGTGTTATCGGTCCAGGATTGTAATAGTGAATAAAACTTGTATAACCCTTTTTTTTCTAAAACTGACTAGATGGTTCATTTCTGTGAGTGTTTCTGTAAAGGAATTTTTTGTTAATTTTGATTACAGTGTAATTACAATTTATCCAACCGAAATATTAATAATAGGTTATAGGTCACCCACTGGAAAGTGGGTGTGAGAGTGAGCTGAAGAACACAGCTTATATGGTTTGATGTCAATATGTTGAGAAATGAAGGACTCATTCTAATAATTGTATTTAATAATCACCAATAACTGTCCTGAAATCCTCTTCTATTCAAGATATGCAGAATTGCTATTTTTGAAGGCAAATGGTGTGAAAGATTAAAGATTAAAAGGGAAAGATTAAAAGGGAGCTGACAAATGTAATGAATTGTGTTGAATGTTGACTGGCTTGAAAATGTTTTTACAGTTTATCCAACTACAATATTGTTACATGGTTATAGGACACAAACAACTGATGAAGTTGTTATTACAATTTATCTAACTGCAATATTGATAAACGGTTGTAAATCACATACAAGTGGTGTTTTGGTGACCGGTTTTGCACTTTTACGACGGTCCCTAAGTTTTCCGGCAGTTTTGTGTAAGGAGAATGATATTCGGGTCTTTCTTTGTATTTTTTATTAATACTGCTGGAGAATGTGGGGCTAACTAAAACTGCGAAATGTTCCCCTCATTTTACTTTACATACTGAGCCTCATCGGAAAGGAATTACTGTAATGTTCAGGAAGATATTGGCGTTTAGATGGCAAAAACCTAGCGATTATCGAATATAAAACCAATTTCACAGCGGTAAAGTTTGGTGAAAATCAACAAATCACCTTCAGTGTTACATTATTTTCATTTTAAATCTAAAACACGGAAGGGGGGGAAACGTGTTAAGTTACAAGGTACCCACTAATGAGTTTTAAAGCAGAATGATGGATGTCGCACAGTCCTACCACCTTCCAAGGTTTCCCGGTTGCTGCCTTCACTATGACCGTTTCCCGGATGCTGCCCCCACTATGACCGTTTCCGGGATGCTGCCCTCACTATGACCGTTTCCCGGATGTTCCTTCATTTTAGCGGAGGAACAAAAATAGCAGTGTATTCTAAGGTTCAGCTGTTGGGAGACTTGGTTTAAAACACTAAATTATATTTTCAAACTTAAAAAATGGTTGTCGTTTAAAGGAGAAAAGCGACAGGGAGGACGTGCTGTCTGGTAGATTATTCTTTTCAAACCAATACCGTAACGCTTGTGGACTGCCTAGGCTGACGTTAATGCCTAGATTGTTAGTATTAGCAGCTGCTGCTAAGTGATTGATTTACTGTAAAATAAACGGATACATTTACCCGGTTTTCATTTTGGCCTAGGAATTTTATATTGTTCTCGTATGTAATGTTTTAATTCTGTTTTGTTTTAACGCTTGCGGTTTAAATAGATTGTTTATTTGGTTTGTTGTTTTCGGCTAGCTAAACGAAGCTAGGTCGTTCTTCCTTATCTATCGCGATAGCAAGCAATCCGCTAGAAGGGGGAGTTCAGCGAAAAACGCTCCGGTTTATCCATTTGTCTCGTTGTCAGACGAAGCTAAAACCACAAACAAAGCTGACACGCATCACCAATAACGGAATAAATGCATGTGTAAGTATTCTATAATTTGTAAAGCACGGCAACATGCTCAGTACTGCTTTCACTTATTTACATTGTGGCTAAGCTACAGTCCCTGTCAGAGAAGTTGGCTTGCCTGCTAGCAGGACAGCGCCATCACATGGAAATGATGTACAGTGTTTTGGACATTTTTAAATATGTTTTCTGTTGTATAAATAATCTTCCTTATTTATCATTCTGACATAGTGTGCATGACAGTAGTAGCATCACCCTGCTTTTCAACCATTTGCATTAGATATGTTGTTAATTTGCTAGGATTATCTGTAAATTGGTATGATAAAGCAAAAATGCATTTAACCGTCTAAATTGTGTGTGTACTGCTTTACATCTTGTTTATATATCAGTTTCTGGTAATTCTCCTCACTAGTGCAAACTCAGGAGTTTTCCAATAGAGAAAACCTACCTTAGTGTGAAATTAAATGCATATTTCTCAGTTCATTGCTAGTGGATTGAGAGCTTAGAATGATCGTCCCCATTACCAAGAACTGTATGCAAACTTAGTTAAATGTTAATTAGAACTGTCGATGTCCTTTGAATCGTGTGTATTTGTTGTTTCATTTTATGTAGTATGTGTGAGGTATCAGTGGATAAATCCACTGTCAAACTTTAATTTGTCTCAAACTTAGATATCTATGTATAAACTACTGCCAACAGGAGAGGACTTTAGAGGTTAGTTTTGTCGACTGGGCTACGGCTATGAAAGACGTGCCTCTGTGGGTAATGATATTACTTTACGTTTATCAGTATTATAAATGTAGTTTGAGGCATTAAAGTGTCCCACGTTTATAAATATGACAGTGATTTGCAATAACTGTAGTTTGGGACTAGCACAGAGTATTGCTTTGATTATAATTTGACTTTTATAAGCATAATGAGCTATACTTTATTTAACCCTTTGTTTCTTGCTTTTTGTGCATGGTTTTAGAGGTTAAAGTCTCAATTTCTCCATTTCTCCATTTAATTTTATAGTTCAAATATTCTTGGGTAACCCAGCAACGGCGACATTAATAAAACTTGGTTGAACTTGTATAAATCAAATCTCTTTAAACCAAAAATATTTTTAGAACTAAAGTTAGAACACACATTTACAATAGAAAATGAAGTATACAATTAAGTAGGGATGCACCAATACTGATACTAGTCGGGTTCTATGCTGCGCTCATGTACTTGTATTCGTTCCCGTGACACTGCGCTGGTGCCTATAACCGATACTATATAATGATGTATCAGCAATATCATTGTCAAGCAAAATAAATGGGACAAAATGTCTGTGGTGTGGAAGTACTTCAAGGTTAATGATGAAAACCAAAGCATTGCAGAATGCAAACTGTGTTCTACTAAACTATCTAGAGGAAGTATGAAAACAGGTTCATACAGCCCTAGTAATGTAGTTAAACATCTAAAAAAAAAAAAAAAAAACTAAGAAAGAGTAACAAAGTTGCTACTAGCAACACTGTGCATTAACCCAATATGTAGCAATAGCACAGAGTGAAAATATCAGATGATAACCCTTGTAAAAATAACACAAGCTCTTACTCAGTATGGATGCTCCTCGCTTTATGAACATTTGACTTACGATATTTCATCCTCCTAGCCACGCTTTTAGTCTCTGTAGTGATCAGGAACGTAAACATTTCATAGTGTTTAACAGTGTATTGTATGATATTTTTTTTTTCTGTGTTTAACCAGATTTCCCCAAGCCTATTATGTCTACTGAATGCCCAAGTGTGTCTCCTGCTTCTGGTAAGAAGAAAAAGAGGAAAGCAACTACTTTGGAGATGAAAATTAAGATAATTGCCCAGTATGAAGGTGGCAAGTTCATAATGGCCTTAGCGCATTATTTATTTACTAATTTATCATATCATATTCATTATGGTATTTTCAGCTTATTATGGGTTATTCGGAAAGTAACCCCCCCTAACATCTGTGGAGGAGCATCTATATATTGTTCTTGATGATCAGGCATAATATTGTAATGGTGGTACGCGCAGAAGTAGACCTGCTGATCCATAGATTTCCACAGGCCAAAAAAAAAGAGACAATCAACACCTTTAATCAGGTCCCCCTTCTTAAGGCACATTTTTTTAAAGGCTGAAATTAATGTTGTGTGTGTGTGTGTGTGTGTGTGTGGGGGGGGGGGGGGGGGAGATAATCTCGGTACTGTTGTTTATTCCGATTCCTGATATTTTTTTATTAAAATGTTGCATATTACTTTTTTTAGACATGGCTCAGCCCTAATTGGTATTGATATCATTGAATAACGGCAGGCGAGCATAGGAACTCATACTTGGCCTGAAAAAAAATATCATATATAATTCAGAAACTATAAACCAATTTAATTAACAACCAAATTGTGTTAATGAATGCTATTTGGGGTGGGGGCAGAGGGATAATATTAATTTTGTCAAAATTACTTAAATGAAAAATGCCACCTGATGACTGTGAAATGACGGGCTAAAATCATATGTAAAAGCAAGCTGTTGAAACATGTATATTGATCACATACTCTGGACTAAACCTTAATCAGAAGATCTTTTTTGGAAAATAAGCACTTCAGCTGTTTTATCTGCCTTTTTGCATATTGTGAGGCAGCACATTATTTATTAAGCAGATGTTTTTATGCTCTTTCATAGTCTAGCATGATAGTGCCTATTTTAAATTAAGGAATTCAGGAATTGTGATCTCTCTATCAGAAAGGCTTGAGATCCTTTAGTATTTCATAAATTATGCGGACTTTATTGAAACAAATGTTCTGGGGTCAGTCGTGTGGCACAGCTGCCATTAGGGCTGTGCGATGTCACATCACGTTGTAATTGCAATATGTGTGCATGTGCAATAGTCACCAAGGCTTTAGATGACGGGCATAAAAATTTGTCCAGATGCCAGCTTTTCTGTACTATTAAGATGTTTACTTGCACTCAATTTGATAAGCAGATTAGTAGTAGTAGTATAAATTCTGTGAATCCTTAGGCTTATTAAATTCGGTTAGCGGTGGAGGATGGGCCAATCCAAATTATTTATTTATTTTCTTCCGATACACATCTGCCGATACTGATACAGAGTCTGATACACGCTCTTTTTACTTTAATGTTTTAATATTATAAATGTGTTTACATAATATATAAATGTTAATACTTTATGTTAATATTTCTTAAAATGGTAAATATATATAAAAAATATGTATGCCAAAAAAGTTTTAATTAGGCTGCTGGTAACATGCATAACACACTGTTCCTCCTTGTTGGTACATCTTGTTTTAAACGTTTGAGGCATTTGCAGTTCAATTTGAATATATTCCAGGGGAATATATGCAAGCGGCGAATGCTTAAAATGCCTCACAATGTTTCTCCCACTGGCAGTATGGTCACTTGCACTTTGTTGCGACAGCAGCCTCTCGTGTATCACAAGCTGCAGCAAGTGCGTACAACCGCCCAAACAAGTGACTCCTAAATCATGCATTGCTTTTTTTCATATTACTTGCATTGTCTTGCACAATTGCATGCACTTTGTATAGTGAGATGTTCTACTAAAACAGGGGTCTCCAACTCCGGTCCTGGAGAGCTACTATCCTGTAGGTTTTCTGTCCCACTTGGCTTCTGATGAGTCACACCTGCTCCTGGTATTTACCTGAGAACAGGTGTGGCTCATCTGAAGCCAGGTATGATAGAAAACCTATTGGTCGGTAGCTCTCCAGGACCGGAGTTGGAGACCCCTGTACTAAATGTTGCTTCCACCTCTCATAACTTTGTTTTTACGAAGATTGCAATTTGCTGTGCTCCTAGTCGTTAAAAGTGTAAAAACCTTCCCGATCGTCACCCTCTCATGTTCTTGTGCCGCTTGTACTACAAAGGGTATGCACATGACATCACAGCAGGTGGAAGTCACTGTGCTCACACCCACTGAGTGTCAAAAAACTTCAGCTTGAATGCCACAAAAAACATTTAAAATGGGAAAGAGCGGTCATGTGATTGATTGTACAAATCGATTTAACAAGAAGTAGGCGAAAACTAAGTATCGGACATGGATCGGTCATGTCCGATAATTCCTAATAAGTTCTGAAGTGGTCTTGAAGAAAGGGACACCTCAGAAGTTTAACTTCACACTTGTCATAAACTATTCTTATTGTAATCCACTTTCACTGTTGCTTATTTTCTTGTTTGAGGTCAGTGTGTAGCTCAACAGCTTATTGATCTGTGACTGTGTCCATAAGGCGAGTTTGAATCTTGTGGCCAGCAGGGTAATCATTTCTCCATTAGCTCCCTGTGCAATGCCCCTAACCCTAGCTGCTCCAGAGGTGCTGGATGCTGACTAACCCTGTAAACCTGATCTGACATTCATATACATGTGTATCCTTATCTTTATTGGGGAGTAAGATGATTTGGGTGAGAACTACCCAATGAGTAACGTTCCCTTTTCTATTTATATGAATGGCTACTTTAGCAGCTGGTCATATATGAGACATACAGTATTTGTGTCTATATACAAAATATTTTATAAGGTTATTATCTTAAAAACTGAAGCACACTGAAATCAATCTCCTTCAAATAACATTTTTATCTTCTGTCATAGAAGCAAGTTGAAGGTGAATGCTGGGTGATCCACAGTTGGAAGAAGGTGGATGAAGTGACTTGAGGGTCAGTCCCAAGTGTTTGATCGTGGCTGCTGCTTCCCCTTTGTGCTCACGGCTCCTCTACACACTCCATCCCGGTACAGAGTGATGACTTCACAGCAGCACCCACTACCCCACGCAAGCACTAATCCTTCATTGCTCCTCCCTCGAGATCCTCCTGCCAGCCAGGGCAGGTCATCCCTACAGCCTGGCCAGCTGGAATCCACCCATAGCGGTTCCAGCACAAGTAGGGATATTCGCATGGGCAGTGTTGGCTCTTCCTTGTCTCTCGGGAGTTCCGCTGGGGGAGGTCCTGCCTGGGCTGCCCCCGCTACCTCTGCTGTCACTACACCCTCACGAAGACAGACAAGTGGACGTTTTGAACCTTGGCCAGAGGAGGCGGTGGACAGTGCATATGGACTGTATTCCCTACATCGCATGTTTGAGATCGTGGGGGCTCAGCTCACCCACCGTGATGTGCGGGTGCTCTCCTTTCTGTTTGTTGATGTCATTGATGAGTATGAGCGAGGTGGCATCCGGAGTGGGCGGGACTTCCTGTTGGCTTTGGAGCGGCAAGGGCGGTGTGACGAGACCAACTTTAGGCATGTACTACAGCTGCTACGCATCATAACCAGACATGACTTGCTGCCCTATGTCACACTCAGAAAGAGACAGACTGGTGAGTGCATTGCTGGTTCAGGCCTCCAGGAACTTGCTTTGAAATTGCCCAGAAACAGTCTCTCGGTTAACCACATACATTTCACTCCAACTTAATTTTTTTATGAAATGTATTTGACATGCAGGTGTGCTGAAGTAGCTGGTTAAATTTTTCTTCAAGAAAAGTGAAAAAATGACAGTTTGTGGTTGTCTAAATTGAGCATGCCAGATTACCAAATCAACTACTAATGTTTTGCTGTCCCAAATGGAAGTGCAATACTCATTTGAACTATACTGGGTGTGGGTATTTGTATTTTTTAATGTCCCAAATTTTCAGATGCTTACTGTGAACTCTGTGACCTTCCTATGCAATGGCCGTATCATTTACTTAAGGAGTTCCCAACCCCTGGTTTGCAGAACACTGGGGGTTTAGCGGAGGGGTTGATTAACTTCCAAAAATAAACTATTCCCCTGAAAAAGATGGAACCGGACCGGATAGACTTAAAATTGTCCATCAATCTGCTATCCACCCCCTGGATTTACTAGTCTGTGAAACTTTTGTGAGCCGGACCCAGGTCCACATACATCAAAAGGTTGGGAACTCCTAATTTCATAGCCAAAGGCCGCTTTACCATGGATTATTACTTCTGAAATAAGCACAAGAGTTCTAAAATATTTCTCTGCTTTTTTGCCAAATGTATTTTGGAATATTATTATGCTTTAAGAGACCATTAACAGGAACCACCTGACTTTAATTGACAGCTGTTTGCTGTCTTCTCTCTAGTGGTTTTCTACTGTGTCCTGCGGTCACTGTCTGTGCAGGTTAATAAGTTTACTTTGTTTTTTTGTTTATTTAATATTGTTCAAAGGCTAAGATTCAATGAAGGGAAAAACAAGTTTATACAGGAGTATAATCACAGATTATACAGTTATTACTTGAAATGTTCTCAAATATCTTAATGAAATCAACGAATAGCTGATTGTTAGCAACCAATATACAATGTGCACCACTAGGATCAGATGACAACTTCCATTGGGATTACTGGCCTTGGAAAATGAAATGGCAATGGAAACAGTGTAACTTATCCAAATTAATTCTGTTTCATTTTATTTTAATGTTGTGAGGTGGAACTGGTTTGGCTGCTGTATGTCAGCGCTAACTGCAGCATGTGTGTAGGGGTGTTCCCTTTTGTGCTGTGACACAGACGGCAGACTGTTCATTTTTAGTCTGTCACCTTACCTGCTGTCGTTTTTGTCTTTTTAGTTTGTCCTGACCCAGTGGATAAGTACTTGGAAGAGACATCAGTGCGCTATGTTTCTCCCAGAGGAGGGGGAGAAAGCAATAAAATCACAAACCACAGGAGAACAGGTCAGACTAGAAGACCTCAGGGTTGGGAGAATGGTGGCTCTTTCATAAACGTTTGTGGTGACCTTTTATTTAATTACTTACATTGATATTAAGTTATAATACAGAGCGCTGGTGTTTAGCGATTGTGTCATTTTGGCTAAAGCATTCAGAACTGGTTGCTGACCCTCATCTAGGACTTTTTAATAGTTTAAATGTGATTATATTTAGTGTAAAAATAATAAAAATCAGTACTGTCATCGTTCAGACGGATATAGCAAAGTTGGAGTTTGCATTTTTGTTTCAATTATTTAGCACAACGTCTCAACCTGCTACCAGAGAAATGCTTAAGAAACGCATTGGCTGTATGTTACAGCAAAAAATTGGCTGCAACAAAAAAATTGTAGTGAAGTAAAATAATATATAAGGCTTTATGATGATACTACAAACCAGTGTGTCTCAGTGCTCCAAAGAAAAACCTCTGGGGCCGGACTGATATTTAACATGTGTTGGCTTGTGCATCTTTTTCTGCCTCCTTTTCCATTACTGATAATAGGGAGCTCGTTGATACAAGACTTTTATGATTGTTATACGTTTGTGTTTGTTTCTTCAGAACAAAAGGCAAAATGGCAAGGTAGTGGATCCATCAAAAGTGTTAAAAGCAGTTTCTCTATCCTTCCCCTGTGTGAAATATCCCTCAACAGGCCCCCAGCCAGTAATTTGCTGCTCCCCATCCGGACCGCAGGTGTGCTCCCCACGTGCCAAGCCAGGCCCCCCTCTACCCAGTCGCAAACGGAAGAGGGCCCATGCCACAGCAGACTGCAGGGAGAAGCAGACCTGCGGTAAGGGTTCATCAGGGTTTAGGGAATTTCAGTAAGTTAGGAGAACCAAAGCTGTAAAAAGTATTTTAGTACCTGCTGATGTTTATTCTGAGAATGAAAAATCAAATGGTCTTTTCTGGCATAGCTTTTAAGTAACCACTTATCATAGTTCACTTTTCTCAAAAGGCTAAACTTGTAAGGCAGATTGTGCTTTTAGTGGGGGCCCAGTCAGTTACAGGGGGCTCACATGTTTAGTCATATTTTGGTCTATGGATTTGGATTATAGTGGGAAACCAGAGGACCTGAAAAAAACCTGGATCTAAAGCCACAAAAGCAGAAGACGGCCCCTAACATTTGTTTTTGAATGCAGAATCTGGGGAACCTATATATTTTGTAATTAAAATGTATGCATTCTTGCCTAAGGAATTATTTTGGCCAACTACTTTTAGTCTTTTGTTACATGAATATGAACATTCCATGTTGTGCAATACTGTGATAGCTGGGTTGAAATGATCAATAAGTTATGCTAAACCGTTTTTACTGTCATAGGTAACAAAACTTAGCAAGTGCTGCAGTTTTACCGATTGTTCCTTCTCAAGGTTTCCTAGTAAGTTTTTAAAATTAGTCTAAATATGGCCGCCACTCATAGACCGTGTGGTGAGTTTGAGAAATTTTAACAGTGAGTGAGGTCACCATGTGTGGATATACTGGAAAACTGGTCACTATGTATGGAAATACTTTGGATTCCATAGAGATTATATTGAATGAAAGAAAATGATTTGTGAGGACTGTTTTCTGTCTGTTGGTACGACTCATGGCAACACCACCAACTTATTTGACCCTGTTGGTACATAAGTTCTATTTTACTGTAGTTTTTTTGTGTAAATTTTCAACTCGTATCGCAATATTAATCGCAAAATATTCAAATCGTGATGGCCTAATATAATTAATAATTGAGGCCTAATATAATTCATAATCTGATAGTGTAGCAGTGATGAAACCTGTCATCGCATTGCCTAATGTGTTTGATCCATTTTGTTCCACAGATATTCGCCTGCGAGTCCGTGCAGAGTACTGCCAGCACGAGTCTGCCTTGCAGGGCAATGTCTTCTCCAATAAGCAAGAGGTCCTTGAGAGACAGTTTGAAAGGTTTAACCAGGCAAACACTATCTTGAAGTCCAGAGACCTTGGCTCTATCATCTGTGACATCAAATTCTCAGAGCTTACCTACCTGGATGCATTTTGGCGGGACTACATCAATGGCTCATTGCTGGAAGCCCTAAAAGGCGTCTTCATCACAGACTCGCTCAAGCAAGCAGTGGGACACGAGGCCATTAAGCTTCTTGTCAATGTGGATGAGGAGGACTACCAGGCAGGCCGACGGAAGCTTTTGCGCAACCTTGTCGCCGCTGGGGGGGCCGGAGGCAGCCGAGAGACTGTGCCGATGTAAGACCGCAGCATGTGCATGTGCCTGGGAGGAGGGCAAGGGCCCCATGGGAATGGGTTTGAGTTGAGGGATTGGAAAAGTTATAAGGAAGGGCTGCACCTCAGGAGAGTAGAGTGTTAGTCATGGAGTTGGCCTAGGAACTCAAACGGGTTGACTTTACTGCAGCAATTAGCATGGAAAGTCTTAGCATTTAATTGGTTGTGCTTTGAAAATAAATGGATAAAGACTGCCCGGGAGAAGTCCTTTTGTGGGGGGGCTGGGGGGGGGTGGAATTGAAGTATGTTGTGTGGAAAAAAAACTTGTGAGATACAGATTTTTATCAGAAGTTTGAAAAATAGTTGATTGCAATATTTTGATGAAGAACATTTTCCTTTTGTCATAAAGTTATGTCTATGGTTAAAACAGGCCAGTTGGCATAGTGCTTGGTTGTCCTGAACACTTTGCAAAAGCTTGGGATGTCCAGTAGTAGTATTCTCAAGAGACCCACAGTGTTTCTAGGGCTCTGCATATTTTTGAAGAGCACCCCAATGTTATTTTAAGTACTGGTCACCTACCTGAGCCCCTTCAGCTTCCAGTGCTGTATCATTAGTTATAGCAGTTTTCCTGTAGAACATTTCAAAAGGCAAACCTCTTAAAATGAGATTTGGTTAATTAAATAAACACATGGCTCACTAAATCTGAAAGCAGTCCTATCTGTGCTTTTGTTTTGTATGGCCTGGCTTGTTAGGGGTCAAGCTTTGTTACAGAGGAGCCAAGATAATTGCTTAAGCAATTGGTAAATGTGAATCAATATAGGATCTTTTACATAGTATACACTGAAACAGGAAAAAATGTCCCTTTTTGTAAGGGAATATGTTGTAAGGTTTTATAAAAGAATTCAGGCATACATGGTTATCTGTTTTACTTCTGTTTTATACTGGCTTGTCTTCATCTTTGACCCCCCAAGCCTTGATTTATTTGATTTAGTTATTTGAATTAGTTCTGTTCAGTTACATTTATATATAATCTGCAGTGCTTTGACAAGTGTTACCTGCAGTTATACTTGGGATTTTTACTGAAAGAGTATTTGTTGATACAACAACCTTTGAACTGTAGAGTATAACACTCCTACAGTATACCCAAATCTGTTTTCCCTCATGGTTGACAGTATCATTTGAATTTGTTACTGACTGTGGGGCTAGAGAACCTGAAATGCATTTGTAATTACAGCGCTTGTAACAAATGGTCTTGTCATGCTGACACTTTGCCCAGAGGAATTTAAAGTCACGCTTCATTGTTTTTTTTTTTTCTTTTCTTTTTTTTTTTTTCTTTTTGCATGAACTAGGGAGGAAAGGCATGTAAGCCAAGATGGACACTGGACTCTAATAGTCACGAGTGGACAGCAAAAATCATAAACTGTGAATTTCATCTGCCTGTGTTTTGTTTATACAAGGGGAACAAAGTATTTTCGGAATAGGAAGAAATTTAAGTTATTTTTCTTACTTTGGTTATATGACAGATAAAGTTGGGACTTGACTGTTTGGCACTCCTATCAAGTCTTTTTATGCCATTTCAATCACACAGAACGCTTGCAGTGATGTTGACCTGTGGGGATCAGGCCCATCCTCCTTTCCATTGTATAAATAGGTGAACATTCAGCTTGCATTTATAATAAGCTGTGCTCACTCTATGTCCACACTTGTATGACCAAGAGGCCAACAGTACAACTCATGGTGCATTGGTGGAGGGTAGTCCATGAAAACACATTTTGGCAGCATATTGTTATGTTTGATTTGAATTTTAATTAATATATTTTTATGAGTGACATTATTTTTCATGTCTGTGTATAGCCTGCAGCAAGGTAACCAATGTCAAAAATCAACAGGCAAATGGAAAGATCGCCTTGCCACAGATGTTGGTGTTTTTGGATTACCATTTTGTTCTGTTTTCTTACTGGAATAATTTAACAAGAAGCTGTAAGGATGGTATCTATTATATAGGTTGTACAATTTGTATACATAATGTATGTTTGGGAGTCCTGATAAATTTGACATAGGCCTAGATGGTAAACCCCAGAACAAAATAAACACACTCACGTAAAATTTGTAAAAGTATGGACATGTATGAAGACTGCTAGACTGGTTTCAACTGCTATTAATGAACCTGTAGATCTGTAAGACGATCATTTTTAGATGTTTTGTATTGTTGATACATTTTTTTTTCCTTTTTTCCATAGCCAAAGCAATCAGGAGTAAACTGAAAGGTGAACTTACACCCGAGGCCACACTAGTACATGGAATAGAGCACTTTATTTTTGGTGTCCAAACGTTAACATATATTATTCTATCTTGCTCATGCAGTGAACATGTAACAGAATACCCTTAAATATTTGCCTTACCACTTTGCATTTAGTTTTTTTTTTATTTCCCTTTTAAAATGGTTTTGATTTTGATGACAGATTGATATTCCGTGTGTTCCGGGTGTTTCTACATATTTGATCGGTACAATTAATGTCTGTACGATAAAATGTATTGTCTACAAAAAAATGAATAAAGATGTTGCATAATCAGTTTCACTAAACATGTTTGACAAATTCTTGTGGATTGCTGATCTAACCAACATTCAAGAGATATGCTACACGTCCCTTTGTGCTAATGGTAACCTATAACAATTGTGCAACGTGTTAACTGAATGTGTGATTCTAATCTATCAGTTGGACTGATTATACTTAGGAAGTATTTGTGACCTCAAGGTATTTCCATGTATGTATTTTATTTTGCATTTTATTTTGTACGGATATGGTACTGCAGTCAGCTGGGCATCAGTGTGGCTTAGTTTTAGCACTGGCTTCACATCTCCAGTTTTGGGGTTGAAATCACACTTCTCTTTGGATGTAGAGTTTGCAGGTTCTTGTGTTGTGTGGTTCACCATTAGGTCCTCCGGTTTCCTCCGGCAGTCCAAAGACTGGCAACTGGACTCATTGTCATCTATAAATTAAATTACCCTTAATATGTCAGTGTGTGCCTTGACATGGACTGGTATGCTGCCCACAGAGTTACCCTGCCTTGTGTTCTGTGCTGCATAGGACAGGCTGTCCATGAGAAGCAGCTGGAAGGTGTGTAGATGGATGCATGGATGGAGGGATGTACTATAGTTACACTGGCCAAAGAAAGTGCTGCTGTAATGTTTTGCAAATTTTTAAAATAGATTTACAGTTTTTTTTGTTGTTAAACACCTGAGCCTTATTTAATGACCAAATACTTTGTTTTCCAGTAACTACACACATTTCACTAGAATAAATTTCTATATCCATTTTGTGGTTCATAATAATACCAGCCTGAAACAAATTCAGGGTGATATCCAGCAAAACCTTTGTTCGCCTGAAATTTGGATTGATTTCAATTTACAAAAACATAGTTTTAAGCTGATTTTGAGTTGAGTCATTTTGTTTGACCATCAAACCTTTCTGTTGTATGTCTGAGTATACAAGGTGTTTTTTTCCTGTTAAAGTCTGTAACGTGTGACTTTAAGTTCTATATGTCAAACACACTGGGGGGAAAAAGTTAACTTTGACCAGTTAAGTTCTGTGGCTTCAATTCTAAGTAAGCACTTCCATGTTTTGTGCAATTACTTCCACAACAAATGACATAGTATTTACAAGACTCAATCAAATTTGTTGGAAGTGACTCAGAAGAAATTTAGTATTTAAATTTGCATGCCGGTGACATAAGTATCATCTCATTACAATGGCACCTGTCAAGGGGAAGCAGGAAAAATGAGTAAGCATAAGGATCTGAGCAACTTTGACAAGGGCCAATTTGTGATGGCTAGGTGACTGGGTAAATGCTTCTTCAAAACAGCAGGTCTTATGGGATGTTCCCAGTATGAAGTGGTCAGTACTCAGCATGGCAATGGGGTCATGGGAACCCAAGGCTCGTTGATAGGAGTTAGAACTGGATCATGGAGCAATGGGGGCAGGTGGCCTGGACTCCATAAGACCAGTTCAAGATAGTTTCATAGTCTTTTTTGCTCCTTTCTGCGATCCCTGTGTGGAAGAAAAATCACCTCTGGCAAGGAGGATCAGGCATCCTTTATTAACAAATGTGCTCAGGAGCCTCCTAGGAGTGGACTCCAGGAAGGCTTCTGAGTGACAACAGGATCATGGGCCAAGAGGTGTGCCATATGGTCAGTTGTATATTTGCACCTCCCTGTCTGGGGGCCAGGAAGGGGTAAAAGAAATTGCACGTCATTTGGACCCTATGAGCTAGGTGGGCCACTTGCATATCAAAGGGAAGGAGTATATTGTCAGTGGGTGATGAGAGGTAGTTCTCATGGTTGGAAGAGCAAAAGAAATGTTGGTTGAATGGGTTAAAAATGATTTTTAAGAGTACAAAACAGGGTGTAAAACCAAACCAAAAACATCTCTGTGAAGTTGTCCTGTGCTATAAACCACATCTTGCTAAGTAGGTGGGAAAGAACCTCTGTATCAATTGGCATAAACAAGCATGTCAATTTCAAACTGTAGAAGAGTTCTGAAAGAATCAAACTTGCCACAGTGTCACAGATGTTGGGGCTGGGATTTCATGCTTGGGATCATTGTCTTATTAAAAGATGAGTTTCCTAACAAGCTCCATTTTTTGCTCTGAATCCAGTTCATAGTATATTCCCACAAATATCATTCTGACTGGGTGACCAGTCCCAGCTGATGAAAAAAACATTGCATAATGTTGCTACCAGAATGCTTCATGTCAATCAAGTAGTACTATGGATTTTCAGATACCAGTTATGTGATCAAGACCATCTGTTTCAAGATTAAGACAAGATCAAGACTCATCCAACCCAAGACCAAGTTAAGACTAAGACCCATCCCAACCAAGATCAAGACTTTAAATCAAGAACAAAACAAGACCAAGACTTGAAAATTCACAATCAGAATTTAGATTTTTTTAGTTGAGTGCACCCGGAACACACCAGGCAAAACACAAGACTGATGTAAGATTTCAATGACCGGACTGCGGAAAACATACCTAATGCAGACTTAAATACATTGGACTAATGACAACAATCAGAAACAGCTGGTAAACACGAGGAATCCATATGGGGTTAATGAGGGGGTGTGGCACACGGAAGGAGCGGACGATTGGGGCATGACAGTACCCCCTCCAAAAAGCACGCAGTCCGGGCGCACCTAAGGGGAGCGAAGTGCCGCAACCGGGGACATGACAGGACGTAGGGAGACAAAAGCAAAAACATGAAAGCACCATGGGGAACAGCACAGACACACAGGACAGGCACAAGGAGACCACCTCAGACAAAAGACAAACCACGGGGAACGCGGACAAACACAGAGGCACCAATGATGGAAACACAGGACCCGGGAACACGAAAGGGGACAACGGAGGAACACCAGGGGACACACCAACAGGAGGCACAAAGGGACCAGAAGGGAACAAAGGCACAGAGGGATGGGGAGGAAACACAGGGGGCACAAAGGCAGGGGGCACAGAGGCAAAGGACAAGGGGACACAGGGAGCCAAAGGGAACCCCGGCAGGCGAGAAGCGGAAGCTACAGGGGCAGCAGGCGACCGCGAGGCCGGAGCAGGTGGGACCCTCGGCAAGAGCGAGGGAGGAGCTCAAGGGAACGTCAAAGGGGCTGAGGAGGAAGGCAGAGGGACCAACGAAGGGGGAGGAGGAAGGTGTGGGGGACAAGGGAGAAGGTGAGGAGGGAACAGCAGCTGTGGCAGGTGAAGGCGCAGCCACGGCCGGCTAAGGCGCAGGCGACCAACGAGTCGACGACGGGGGACCCGCAGTCGACTGCCAAGCCGGAGCCGGAGGACCCACAGGCGACCGCCAAGCGAAGGAGTCACTGGGGATGACAGGGTAATCCCTGAGGGGTCCCAGTAAAGCTCCTCCTCCATCCAGGGAGGAGGACTGATGGTGACAGACGGAGACCTCCTCAGGGACTGGGACCAGAGGCACGGGAGCAGGACCGGGGGATCAGGGACGTCCTTAGGGATGGGATCCGGGGGCAGAGCAGGAATTGGAACCTCGGGGGGCAGAGCTGGAACAGCCGGCCCAGGAACCATGGAGGGTGGTGCAGGAACCGCAGCGCAGAAGCACACAGCGCAGGAACCTCAGGCGGCGAAGCAGGCGGCATCCTCCCAGTACAGGCGTGGATTGCAGAACACATAGTTTTCTGGGATCATCCTCAGGACGCAGGCAAGCTCGTCGTCTGGCAGGCGTATTGGCGAACTTTTCTTTCCCGAGTCCGGTCATTCTGTCATGCACGCCGACCGAGGAAGCAGAAACAGGGAGGTGAGGAACGAGGGATTTATTATAGGAACACGCAAGGCAAAACACAAGACTGACATAAGACTTGACTGGACTGGGGTAAACATACCTAATGCAGACTTAAATATATTGGACTAATGACAACAATCAGAAACAGCTGGTAAACACAGGGAATCCACACGGGGTTAACGAGGGGGCGTGGCACATGGGAGGAGCGGACGATCGGGGCAGGACAGGGGTAATGTTGGGATAAGATCTTTATCGTTTTGGAAGCCATTAAGAAAAAAATGCTCTTCTTGTTTTATCCTGTTCATTTTGTGTTTAAATGCTAAAAAAAGAGAACATATTTAGGTGTAATTTTGGGGGGCCGGGAACCAATTAATTGGTTTTCCATTATTTCTTATGGGAAAAATTCAATCAGAACTCGAACTTTTTAGGATTCGATCCAGAGTCCGGAACAGATTAAGTTCGAGAACCGAGGTACCCCTGTATTTGTGTAAAACATGGCATAATCAATACATTTGATCTGATGTATAAACACCAAAGAGCTAAGATATTATGACCTCCTGCTTAATATTCTGTTGATCCGCTGTGTGCCTCCAAAACAGCTGTTACCCACTGAGGCTTGGATTCAACACCTCTGAAAGTGTAACGTGGTATTTGGCACCAAGATGTCAGCAGCAGATCCTTTAAGTCCCACAGGTTGCGAGGTGGGGCTTCTGCAGATTGGACTTGCTGTTTCAGCACATCCCTAAGATGCTTGACAGGATTCAGACTGGATAGGATTTTTTTTTTTTATAAAGTTGTGTTGTATAATGATTCTGCCACAGAAAAAGAACAGTGTAGAAATCATTGGAAGCCCAAAACTGTCACGATAAACATGTTTGTTTGTGATAAGTGTATATACACTTTGACCACAAATGTATTAAATGTAGACTAAAATATAGTGGCAGTAAATGTTAGTCAGCTAGGTACAATAATCTTCTGTATCCGTTTCAAAAAGAAAAAATAGATGCTATTGGAACAAAGCAGTCTTGGAAGGATAGAAAAGCGTGTACTCAATCAGAGCGGAAAAATATACATTCACTGAGCACTTTTTAAGGAAAACTTTACTAATATAGTGTAGATCCTCCCCTTTCCCTCAAAACAGTCTTATTTCTTCTTGACATGGATTCCACAAGATGTTGGAAGCATTCCTTTGAGATTCTGGTCCACGTTGATATGATTTCATCACACACTTTCTACAGATTTGTCAGCTGCACATTCATGCTGCCAATCTGCCGTTCTAC